AGATAATGGCAATGAAGCTGGTTAATATAAATCTTCTATTAAAATCCTATATGTCCCATTTTCTAATTTTACAAAAATGCCCATAATATCCCATGTTGTTTAAAGAAAGGGAAACAATGAACAAATAGCAGCAAGGAAATAGCAATAGTGAAAACCCTTTCAACCAAGTAGCAAGTAAACTAAAGCAGTATATCTACTTCTAAATCTAAATACCTCTACTCTTTTCTATTTTAAAACATTATAATCTTTTAAGCAAGCAGCCAAACTATACCTGTGGCCTTTTCTTTTATGACTTGATGTTTATGGTCGTGTTCTGAGCCAGAGCAATCGTGAGCATTTCCAAAAAGGCTTGGACTTTTCCAGCGAGGCCTTATTACTATATATTACCATTTCCAAAAATTAATAGAAAGCCCAACAACAGTAAGACAGAAGGAAGAAAGGGACATACCGGGCCCCTGGGACAACCTCGAGGGGAAGAGCTGCCTTGCAGATTCCTTTCTCGAACCGTGACCTTGTCCCCGGGACAACCTCGAGGAGAAAAGCTACCTTGCAGGTTCCTTTCTTGTCCTGGCGGCTCCGGAGGGGACATATTGGGCCCCCGGGGCAACCCCATGTGAGGAAGAGCTGCCTTGCAGGTTCCTCTCTCGTCCCATGACCTTGTCACGGACTGGGTGCATCCCGGGGGCTCCCAACAAAAAGAGAAAAGAAAAAAATGAAAGAAGAAAGAAAAATAGAAATAAAGGAAAACCCCACAGTACTGCAAAAGCCCAATGTAGAGGCAGAAGATTATAACAATAGAAAATGTACTGAATATACACATACACACCCATAAGCAAAATCAAAACAGTCCAACAAGATACAATAGATTGACCCGGTGAACAAAGGAAACCAAGAATTATATCTACCAGAACAAAACTAAATAAGGAACAAACTAGAAAACAATACTAAAGCAAGGTGCCAACTGGGGAATAAAGCAATGAAAATAAAACTAACAAATATGTTGAGAGGAAAGGAGAGAGAGAAAAGAAAGAAGGGATAGATATGCAAAGTTAAATAGAGGTAGATGAAGATTTATATATGTTAAAGATTAACTGCAAGGGGAGAAGAACAGTAGGAAAAGCAAACAAAGGAATAAATGTAGAAAAATAATAGTAGGTTTAAAAAATTAAAATTTAAAAAAGAGAAAAGAAAAGAGAGAGAGAGAGAGAAAACTCCACAGAACTGCAAAAGCCCAGTGTAGAGGCAGAGGTTTATGACAACAATAAAAAAATGTGACTGAGAAAAAATAAAGCTCAAAAGCTTAATTGGATTTCTTAAAGCCAATAAAACTGACAACCACAACAAAGGGAGAAATGGGGGGTGGGGGGGCCAAAAGAATCTACAGAACAAATAAAAAAATAAGAATAATAAATGGTTTTCTTAAGTCACTGCTGTCAGAGTCCTTTTCCTCGCTGGGAGTCACCGTCCACCTCACCTCCCTAGGATGCCCCCCAGCACTGTGCTGATCTCTGGGCCTGCTGTGGGGGCAGCTCAGATTCTAACCTGGTCCTACTCCCGTGTGTTCTTGCCTCCAATGTCCACAGCCATCAGAACTAGTGCGTTTTCTTTTGTGGGAGCTCTCAGTGGCCTTTTATATATTCCATAGGCACAGAGTCTGCCCAGTTGATCTTGTGGGTTTAATCTGCAGCTTGCACAGCTGGTGGGAAGGTTTTGGGTCGTCTTCCTTAGCCACATTGCCCCTTTTTTCAATTGTGGTTTTATTTCCACCCATGTGGGTCTTCCACTGGGGTTTGCTCCTGAGGCTGCCCTGGAGGATTTGGGTTTGCCCCTGTGAGGGCCAGGTGTGGAGGTGGTGCAGCTGCTTGGGTCGCAGGGGTTCTGGCAGCACCAGGTACTCAGGAGGGTTGGCGGCTAGGGCAGCAGGAAATATGGTGCTCTAGAAGGGTATGGTAGACAGTATTGGCCAATATGCTTCAGTATTCTTGCCTGGAGAACCCCCAGAGAAGCCTGGCAGGCCACAGTCTACAGGGTCACAAAGAGTTGGAGATGACCAAAGTGACCCTGTGTGTATAGACACAAGATTTTTTTGCCTGTGGCAGCTCTGCCCCAGTGAGAGTTGAGTGTGAAGGTAGCATAGCTGTGGGGACCCTGGTGGCACCAAGTGTGCAGGGACATGGACTGCTTCCACCACAGGAGTTATGACCCTATCAGAGTTTTTTTTGACGCCTCTTGTAGCTGGCAATCAGAAAGCCTCTTTGGCCAATCTTTCTCCATAGCTTCACCCGTTCAGACACTCAGAGGGCTCCCTTGCCTAGGGTCCTTCTGTTGTTCTGCACGTCAGGCAGAGAGGGGCCCCCCTGGCTGGGGTCCTACTCTGTAGTTCAGTGCATCAGGCATTTGATGGGCCAGACTCTCTATTGTTCAGCTCCTGATGCTGGCATTGGGGAGAGAGGGAGGCTATGGTGATGGCTCCATCCCCTACACGTGACTCAGCAGTATCGCCTTGCTTCCGTGGCTGCCTGGCATTTCCCATCACTATCTCCTCCCTCGTATCCCCTCAATCTGCCTCTCTGCAATCAACAGCAGCCCTCACCCTGGGATTGTTCCACAGTCCCTAAATTCCAGCTCCTAGCCACTGTGTTTTCCAGGGGACCAGTGTTCCTGTCTGGGGTATGTATGGCTGCAGCAAGGACTGTCTGATTCTCATTCCATTTAGGCTGCCACAGATCAGCTGTTTCACTCTCAACCTTAAATGTTTCTCCTCTGACTCAGACAGTTGCCCCAATGTGGGGATTGTATCCATGCTTCAGTTCCCCTACCCACTAAGGGAAGGTCCAGTCCTACTAACACTCTTGTTTTTCCCCCTAGTTCCTCTGTCCTACAGAGTTTTGCATGGTTCTATATATTCTTTTCCACTAGTCAGGTACTCCTGTCTGCTCTCAGCTGGTGTTCTGCATGCACTTCTGTGTCTGAAGGTGTATTCCTGATGTATCTGTGGAGAGAAATGTACTCCACGTCCACCTACTCCTCTGCCATCTTGTTCTTCAGTGCATGAGTTATCTTAAAAACAATAAGTCTTGGTAAAGAATGCGGAACTAACAAGCTAGCACCAACCAAAGAGTTTGGGAAAGGTCAAAAGGAGAGAGGAAACGCCAGCCCGAATACCCTACTAAACTCCTAGGATCCTTCTCACTGGAATCTATTTTTGCTGAGCAATGCACATGCCTACAAGGAAGGATCCTGAGTCATAATGTTTGGCCAGAGACCAAGAAATTAACCCATTTACTGTAAAACCCAAGACTGTGAGCCACGTGGCAGAGCAGTTCTCCGCCCAGGCAACCCTTCCCAATAAAGGCGCATGGGCCAACACTTGTGTCTCCTTGGACAATTAATTTCCGAGTGTTATTTAAGAACCCACTGTTGGATTCTGGAAGGGGTCTCCTCTTCCTATGACACCACCTTTAGGATTTGGAATGTTATGCTTTGCATTAAAGTATGCAAGATGAAAACTTAAGATTCCTTAAGATAAATTTTACACATTAAAAGCAGATGTGTGTGTATGTGTGTATAAATGAAGTTACACTAAGGAAAGTTAAGTTTACATTCCCGTATTGACTACTATATAACCAAAATCTGGTATACTACACACGTTTATCTAATCACCATGTGATTGAGAAAGAAGGGCTGTATATTTCAGAGAAGACAAGCAGTAAAGGCAAGAAATTAAACACTACTCTCAAACCCACTTTTTTTTAATGACTCAAAGCCAAGTTGTCATTAGTACAAAATAGGGTTTGTCAACTTACACTCTTTGTGAAGTGAAACAAGATATAAACAACAGATAAACAAATAGTTTCTAAAATTACACAAACCATATTAACAACCTAGGCAGTTAATTAAGAAATGTGTTAGTAATGACCAGAAAACTGTTACCAATAAAATTTCTAACAGCACTCATGACCAATTTTTGCTGGTTTTTCAATTGATTTTTGACTTCAGGTTATAGTCAGGGTCCAGGAAAAACATTTTTTTCTGCTTTGAAAAACCAAACCCTGGACTGAAATAGAAACCTTGGAGAGTTTCATTCTAACAAGCAGAAATGGTGGTATTTTCCTACACCTAAACCAAGATGAAATCTCTAAAACTGCATTGCCAGAAGCAAAATCCTCAGGAGACTAATAATACTTTAACATTTTCTGTTCACTTGTGAATGTTAATTCTAATCTCTGAAGAAAAGCACCAAAATGGTATTCATTAAGATTAAAGCCATATTACTACAAAAATGGGAAATTTATATATATGGTTCCTATGAAATACAAATACTGCCAAAGAATGGGTCTCCGTTGAGTTCTCTCTACACCTAGTCCTTTGCAAAGTTAAATCACACTGGTGAAGCATTTCATAAAGCAGTATAAAATTCCTAAGTAGCTGGTATTAGCTTCTCTGCTGCCAAGGTAGCCCCACAGGTTTTTGACAATTGTGTGCCCCCTGTGAATGCCCACATATGCTCAGGGAACAAGCAAATGGCCCTGGTAATGGAGGCGGACAGGAGACATTTCAGACTTCAGCATCTGGCAAAGTGGAAAAGGCTCCTGCAAAACACAACTTCTGATTGGGCCTGTCTTGCCCTTGGATCAAATATCTTTCCTGGTTAAGTCTTTTGAGGAATGTTATTTGAAATGGCTTTTTTTTTCATGATTCTGAAGAAACAAACAAAAGAAAGTGTTATAGAAAAAGCAGACAGTTTATTTCAGAGTTATATTTTTTCACTGTGTTTTAACAGGCAATATTTTTAACAGGGTACTGATAAATAGCAATATTCATATTCAAGATTCATTACTGGGACTGCTTGGTCTAAGAGAAAGGGAGTAATGAGAAAGAATATAGATTTGAAGAGGGACTAAAGCATGAAGGGAAAAAATGTGAGAAATAGTAAGAGCTAAATGTTACATGGTGATTTATACATACTAACTCATAGGATCTTTCCAATAATTTTATAACTCAATAAATTTCATATTATTCCTGTTTACATCTGAGGAAACTGGGGCACAAGGTAGTTTAAGAGCTTCCATGCAGCCCCAAAGTGTAATCTGATTCCAGGTTGTCTGGCTTTTATACAGTACTCTCTACTGCTTCTTATTCACTGTAGTATGGTTGGGTGCCTGCAGATGACAGTGCTCAATCAATATATGTGAAGCGAATGAGAAATTTTCACAATCCCTGCAGCCATCATGTCCTAGACACAGTGTCTCTGAGGATAGGAACTGACTTCATCTTGTCCTAATCCTCAGCACCTGGCACAATGCTATCCACACACAGTAGATACTCACAAGTTGTTTGATGAATGAATCAATACAGACTCAAATAGCTATAGGTAATATGGACCATAAACAGAATCACATGGTAAAATGGGCAAGGGTGGGTACAGTTCATTATCTTCTCACAGTTCCATAAGGTGGTCTAGAATAACAAACACAGAACTTAATGGACATTTAACTCTAGTTTTATTTAAAATCTAGAAAATTTTACATTTTTAGTTATCTTTTATCTTTACTTGTACTTCTAAATTTAAAAAATAACTTCTTCCCTGTTTCATTCAACTCTTTATAAAAATATTAATTGTAAAAGTCTATTTTATCAGAACACATATTATTAATATTACTCTGTCACTTGTTTCTGTCTTTAGATCTACTATCAAACCTATACAGTATTTTTTAAACCAAAAAAAAAAAAAAAAAGAATAACAAACACAATTGTCAATTTTATTATCCAATTTCTCCTATCCAACTACTCATAAGACATAGAACAGAAATTCTAAATTCCTCTTTGCAAAAGAAAACCTTATTTTCATGATAAAAGTAACAATGCATTCCTGAAGGAGCTCCATTTTCAAAAACATGATATGATCATTTGCACTAAAATGAAGACATCTAAGGAAATATCCAAATCAAGGTTAACAAAGTAGGTACAAAAGCTAGTGTTTCTTAGCCCTATCTAGTGAAGTCACCTTGGTTGCAGGGGAAAGTGCATATGTTCCTCTGCAACACAGCTAAAAGCAACCTGCTTGAGCATAAAACTTCATTGAGGTCTTATATTTTATCTTAAAAATTCATCATTTTTTGGTATTCTGAGGTATGTTTGTTTTTGTTTCACCACAAAAATGATATTGTGATTATTTACCATTATGTAAAATTCAAAGGTTACCATTTTTATCCTTCAGCATCCAAAACCCTGTGAAATGTGTCAGCCCATTTGAGAAACCAGGGACTATAGCATCCTATACAGACTCTTAGAAGCTCAAACATTTAAAGGCAAATTACAAATACATTAAGTGAAATACAAATATAGTGAGATATAAATAAAATATAAATATTGACCCCAAGTAAGCATAGTGGAGTTAGGATAATTTGGTGTGAGATATCGTGTCTGTGCACTTAGCAAATACCTTCCTAATCACCTTTCTAACAATCAACACCTTCTAAATAACCACATATAAAGGTAAACAAATATGAAAAGCTAATTAGGATAGCTACTTCTCACACTCAGGAATATTCCTGCTTCTCTGATGCAATATGGGAGGATTAAAAATTCCCCAAGTGCCTAAATATACCAGTGTAATTTGCTAGGTCAATAAAATGATTGGAAGTCACCAATGTCCATTACCGGTGAAAGTAGTAAAGATTAAACACACAATTTCCTATGTTATCTTTTCCCATATAACTAATAAAGCCATATGTTCCAAGACAGTGGAATCTTCTTCACTCTGGAAGCCTGAGTTGTCACACAGAGACAATTATCTGCAAGAGTCATACAGATGCACAGTGGACTCCAAAGAAGAAATAAACCTTGGTTGGATTAAACCACTGAGATGTTGTTACTATGGCAAAAACTAGCCTGCCCTGGCTCATATTCTCCCAGATGTTAAACAAAAATTCAAACAGACCAAGCTCTAAAAACATTAAAGAGGCCCACCTTCTTTCTGTTTTATTAGTCCAGAACTACTAAAAAAAAAAAAAAAGGTCTGTAAGCAATATGGTTATTTGTATGCTCTGCCCAACACATGACTCATAACCTGCTCTCTTAAAAAGAATTCTGTCAAATTGGCCATTTAGAAGTGTGTAAACAAGCAGTCAGTTGACACTTTTCAAATCACTTCAATTAGATGTAAAGGGAAAACCTATGTAACACACTACAAAACTCTTACTGACACAGTTAATGTTGGTGAATATACTACATTAAATACTAACTTCTACTTAATTACCAACAAATCATACCACAGTTAGTCAGTTCAGTCACTGAGTCATGTCCAACTCTTTGCAACCCCATGAACTGCAGCACGCCAGGACTCCCTATCCATCACCAACTCCTGGAGTTTACCCAAACTCATGTCCACTGCCATCCAACCATCTCATCCTCTGTCATCCCCTTCTCTTCCAGCCCTCAATTTTTCCCAGCATCAAGGTCTTTCCAAATGACTCAGCCCTTTGCATCAGGTGGCCAAACTATTGGAGTTTCAGCTTCAACATCAGTCCTTCCAATGAACACCCTGGACTGATCCCCCTTAGGATGGAATGGTTGGATCTCTTTGCAGTCCAAGGGACTCTCAAGAGTCTTCTCCAACACCACAGTTCAAAA